CTCAGAGATGTTTTCTTGGTACCCATGATGCTACTTCTATGACAACTGTTGCTCTCCCATGTCACGTACCACACAGGGGACACAGAGGAGTTAGAATTAAATCTTCTGGCAAGGATAAGTGACCCAAAGGAGGGTCTATGTGGGACAAAAAGAGAAAGTAGCAAATATGACAATTTCAAGAAAGCCAATATGACAATCTCTAAGTCATGGTTGTGAGGACAGAGATAAAAAAAATGCCACTGCTTGAGTACAATTGCCCTGTGGCATTAAAAAGGAAGCAGAGTCTCTACAATGACTTTGTCCCAGTTCTTTGAAGCCTGAGCAAGAGATAAACTTTGATATTCATTGTCTTTCTATTAGCATTAGCCTGTCTTTCTTTACAACCCTCATTTCTTGCAGGAAAATCCTCCAGTGACTCCAGAGAGGAAACTCACAGAAGATATGAGAGTTTTCATCATCTGTAGAGCAGGACTGGCTAAGAAAATATGAACAATGTAAGGAAGCCTGTGGAGGAGACATGCTTGACCATTTCTTGTGATGTTTTTCCACGAAGAAGTTAAATATATTTATCATGGTTGACCCACATGCATTAGAATCATGATGTGATACAATATTGTGCATTTTTTTTCTTTCTGAACAACAAATACTGATGTTTCAAACACCAATTGATGTGTATTGAGACTAGCAGGAGAGAGTATTTGTCATTAGATAAGATCAGTTTTGAGTTTACATTACTGATCTTCTCCCAGATCAGTAAATGACTTACCCCGAGGACCTTGGGTTCCCCTTTCAAGAATTTCTCTTTCATTCCTTTCCACAGATATGAGTGTGCCGGAACAGACTCTTCCATCTCGTGTACACCAGGGCCTGACCCTGGGATAGTCTGTTTCATGTCTTGAGTGGTTGTCATGGCAGCAGAAAATGTACTACAATTTTTAAAAACCACAATTAAGAACAGGATCCTGGAAAAAAAAAAAACAGAATATGAGCACTTAGAGTCCATTTCCTCCATATAATAATCTCTGTTTATATTCTTTCATTAAATTACAAAAGATGACAGGGCATTTCACAACATGTTTAAAAGTGAATCTATCGCCAACATTCCTGATTTTCTCTTGTCTTAGGAAGAAAAGAAAGAAGGAGAGGATTATAGATCAAGGATCATGATATTCATTTTTCTATATGGTTAGTGGTTAAATCTTTCTATTTTTTACAGTTGTCTTTAAAGATTGTTCAGAAGAACCAGGGTTGTCATCTGGTTCCTGCTTTCATGAAATAAACTAGACATGA